ATTCATTCACAATGGCCCGCTATTTCCCACACTTGAATAGTCGAAGCATACAAGCAACAATAAAACAACTGTTCAATTTTTGCACATTGTGTCGCATCATAGTGTCGCATGGCGTCTCTCAAAACAACAAAGGAATGTGATCTGTGTTGCTCTCAAATTTGAATATGAACTACATGTAAAACTATCCACATGTTGATATTCACACAAAATCAAACAGTTTATTTCATTAAAAATAACCAGGATTACCGATGCTAAGGGCAAATCTAACCGAAATTTGATTATAAGGCCCGTTCCAAATGCCACTCCATTCACGCGCCGAACCTAACTGATGAGTTAAGTATGGCAGAAGAGCGGCATTTGAATCAATTTGGTTCGGCAGGTTATGTTTGGGGCGGCAAACAACATTAAATTCGGCAGGGTCTGTTGCACTATGCGACGTTGGAGCAGCAACTGACTCATATGGCATTCTCCTCATGAGTCGCACCTAATGCATAAATTACTGTTAATGTATTTTTCATATAACAGGACTTGTGATTGGCTCAAAATTGAGTGGCGTGACTAGTCATGCATGAAGCTTGAAGTCGTCCCTAAAAATAAAGACAACAAAGCATGCCTTTGATTTATGAGAAACAGGACTGTGTAAGCGAGTTTCCTAAGCACAAATTCATTTTTTGCCTTTCTTCGTGAGAATAGCCCAGCTTATGAGGTTTCCCTTTAAAAAGTTGAATTAACCCAGAGAAAACCTGTCTAAATGCAAACACCGAACTTGAGTTTGAATTTGCTTCCCTAAATATTGCTGTAACAGTGAAATGTTAGTCACAGCTTTTCTATTTGCACATAGTTCTTGAATTCAGAATTCTCGTCAAAAATTGTTACTACCAGCTTCCCGAATTAAGTTCGACGCAAGTACGCCATCTGAACCAGCCGTTGCTCCAAAGTCGCTCTGAAGTTGAACTTAATCAAGTTTGGTTCGGCACATGAGTGGAGCGGCGTTTGGACCAGGCCTAACATAGCCTTAGCGAAGCGCATGTTCTGATTGGCTATTTTATGCGCTTGATCCTAGCCTCTTACAGGCGTTCAGTTAGTTGGGGCACAGTGCCAAAAACAGCGAGCAAAAAGATAGGGGAGAAGTGCGGCGAGAGAAAAATGGAAGAACGCCTGTGGGCAAACTTAACAAAAGGTCCTTCCACCCACTTTCATATTATTTGATATCCGTGATAAGAAGCAACATACTTTACTTGCAAACAGTTCTAATCAAACAGCCAGGCCCAAATAACTCAACATAAAGAGCCCGTCATAAACATGTGTGAAGAAAAGAAAGGTCTCTCATTTCTCATTTGCAGTCAGTAGCACTTGAGTGTTGACAAAATCTGTCAAAATTGACCAATCAGAGGGTATAACAGATCCTG